ATAAAAAAAGAATTGAAAGAAATGGAAATAGGGCTTTTACAAATGGGAAGGGGAAAAAGAGCTGGAGGGAACAGGGCAGGCTGGGAGGGAAGGGGACAAAAAGAATTAAGATGTGTTCTACACATTGTAAACTCTCCCATGATAAATGCAGTCATTATGTACTGCAAATGTGCCCTGAAAAAAAGGCATTCTGTAGCCCCCCCTCCCCCCACTGGAGATTGATTGAATTCAGGACCTTGCACTTGCCAGGCAAGTGCTAATTCCCCGGCCCGGCCTTCCTAACTCTTATGCCTTAACTTTGCTACTCCTTTGACTGCTTCTTATAGATTTTACTGAAACCTTTAAAAGCAGGCTAGGTCCTTTTTATGAGGAGGAATTTGAGGATTAGTGGGGTGAAGTTCTCCATTAGGTCTGCGGCCTCTCCATTTCTAGCCTGCTAAGAGTGGATAAAAAATCAATAACATGCAAACAATCAATAACATTCCTATACACTACGAATGAACCCATTCTTAGTGAGAAAGAAATTGGGAAAACAATACCAATCACAGCAGCATCAAGACAAGCTCAATACTCCACAGCAGTCTTGGGGAAAGGAGCTCTAGGCAGCAGGATCAGTGGGGGCTGCTGCAGCAGGCTGAGCAGGCCTGAGATGCTCTGGCTTCTGCGGGGCAGGGGACAGGGGCTGCGGTGGGCAGACCCTGAGAACGCTTGGGCCGAAGCAGCAGGAGTCTGTGAGCCCCACCCAGCCCAAACTCATAGACTGCGCATTCCCGTCTGGCCCTGGCTAGTCTGCAAATCTTTTGCCCTTCCTATGCATGATCCCATCTGGAGCTTGGGATGTTGCGGACGCAAAGCTGTGCCGTTCCTTTCCCAGCCCTTCTGGCCAGACAGCTCCTTTAGGCTTCACGCCCGCGGGATTGGTGGGACGCAAACGCTCCTTGCTACCACCGCCAGGAGTCCTGAAGGGGGCGCGCTGATCCCCACTTAAAAGCACTTCGGAGTCAAGCAAGGCCAGGGAGCGAGAGACAGAGCACAAATTTTATGCGATGCCTGCTGCCAAGAACGTGAGGAATGCCTGTATAACTTACTCTCTCAATCCTGCGACGCATGGAGGTTTTCTCTTTCTTTTAGTCCTGGGGACTGAGTCTGGAGCCTTCACACGGAGCCACATCCCTAACCCTTTCACCTCCTTTCTGTGGCTCTGTCTTGGTCTCGGGGTCTCTGTCTCTGTGCCCCTCCCCTCCATTTCTTCTGAGACGGATTCTCACTAAATTGCCAGGCTGGGCTCCAGCTTACAGCGCTTTTGCCTCAGCCTCCTAGAGTGCCGGGACTACGGGCACGAACCACCCAGCCTGGCTGGAGTATGGAATTTAACACTCGTGGCAACAGGCTCAGAGGGGGTACAGTGACCTGCGCAGGGCACCCAGCGCCTTAGATCTGGACCCCACGCCATGCTGTGTCATAGATTTCCCAAAGGACAAACTGTTTTTCCCAACCATCCAAAGACTTCATCCCAAGTTAGTCTGAGCTTTGAAATATTTACATCTGGAGCCAAGGCAGGAAGGAAAGTCTGAAAGTTGTACTGTTAAAAATCTGAATCATCCCAGGGCTTCTTTTCCCAGCTCACAATGACGTTAGATAGCTGTACTTTTCAAGTTCTGCGTACAGCTCTCTTGCCCCTGCAGTCTGTCCCTCTGCCGGCCAGATGGGAGAACCGTGCAGCCGGCCTTGTACCTAACCCCCATTCTTCTTCAGGCCCTGAGCCAGCCGTTGGTCTGACCGCCTGGCCTGACCCTGAACTTCTGAGTCCTGAGCCGGCCACCTTTCACAATCCTGGCTCAATCCTTTCAGGTCTCTTAAGTACTCAGCATGACTGGCTCAGATTTTGAGGTGAGCCCGGCCTGTGATGTCAGAGGTGTTTGTTTTGAGGCAGTTTCCAAAACCCTGTTTACGTCTCAGGCTGGTCATTTAAGGTGAATGATGTTAGTGCTAACCTCACTGGGCTACAGAGGAG